TACAATCCATGTGTGCAAAGAAATCCGAGAACCATGTAGTTGTGCCACTTTGGTGTTAGCCTGGACTCAGGGTCATCTGTTAGGAGGGTTCTCTGGAGGGAGGTATGAGTAAGTACATCAGGGATGGAGTCCTTAGTGATGCCAGTCAAGCATTTTACTATCCCCGAGGAAAGTTATTTTGTTCCCAAGGGCAGTCAAGGAGATGGTTTCTGACCAAAGGCAGAGACATGAACATTTGAGAGGCCTCTGAAAAGTTATGAAGTTATCAGAACACATGTTCTCAGCCAGGTACCCTTCAATGTAGACCAGGTATGTGGGGTGAGAGAAGGATTTTGCCAGGCCCCGAAGCAAAATTGAATCGCTGAAGTATCGCAGTTGACTCAGAACCTTTCTTACTCATTCTGAATAAGGCCTTTTCAAAGATTTTTCTTTTGCTACCGTTTACTGTAAAGCAGTGGTTTTCAACCTTTAGCATGCATCAGAATCACCTAGATGGCGGATTAAAACAGAGACTCTCAGGCCCAATCCCCAGAGTTTTTGATTCAGCAGGCCTGGGCTGGGACTGAGGACTTTGCATTTCTAAATTATCCTCAGATGATGCTGATGATGCTGGTGTGGGCTACATTTTGAGAACGACTGTTTTATAATGATGTTCTCTTTTTTTCTTTTAAAAGAAAACAGGGAATTCCAGAGAAGCTGCTAATTTAAGTATAATATGTCCAATATGTTGTGGGGGTCCCTCCAATTCAGATCTTGAAACAAACAGAAGACTGCTTTTGCATTTTCCCTGGAATCCCTAAGGGAGGTCTTCAGAGCAAGGGCCCCTGCATAAAGGACCACCAACAGAGTCTTTTATCCTTTTGTCTTTGACAGTTCTTTTGCATTTCAGCTCCTCACTGAATGCAAAATCCCAGCTCAGTACTGAAGAGCTTGTCTCACATGACCATAGAATGCTGCATGCAGGACACCAGGTGGCCAGCTAAGGCAATAAACATTCAGAAATACAAAGAGAGTGAACGTTTGCAAGCGCACTTTAAGCCTGTACAATTAAAGCTGAAGGCCTCCAAACAACCTGATAGGGGAACTCCGTGGTGCTGTTAGAGACATGCTTCCTAAAGCTAAGACGAGAAGAACAAGACCATGGAGGAGCATAGTCTGTTTGGGGATCTTATGGCACCTGTGGTTTATAAATAGCTTTAGTAATGAGTATTTCAAAACATAGTTCACAGTTTTTAAGAAGATCTGTGCTGATTTTAAAAACTAGATTCTATATAATTTGAATGTTGTCTTTTTTTGAACATGATTATCTGTTTGGAAAAAAATATTTACACTAAATTCTATGGCTGACGCATTAGAATACCTTGAAAGAAAACAACCTCAAGTTGGGAAGAAGCCCCAAAGGATTATTCCTGGTGTTTTGTTCAAGTCACTGCTCACAGAGACTTGGGTGTCATCTGCAGACCAAAGATCCTTTTCAGCTTCTGGAATCTGAGTGTGAACACTCAGGAATTAAATTCTTCAGGGTTTGTGAATAATTGCAAGTGGTTGTTTTTTTCCAATTGCAGTGGAAAAAAATGTACAGTGTATAATAAACTGTTTTGCTAAAATCTGAAAGAATCCAGAAAACAAACTTCTAGCTCTACATAGTGTTAATGTTGTGATTGTAAACTGAACAGGTTCAGTATCATGTGCAAAGGTTTAAAATGCTTGTTAATACTGCCATCATGTGTAACAGCAGCATGGGTTCTCAGGGATGAGCTATGTTACAGAAGATGTAGCTGATAAATTAGCTTTAAACAGCAGAAGTCTTTTTTCCCCTTCTAAAACACACACCTATGAACTACAAATTTTAGAACAAAAAGTTAGCTGCACTATGGCATCAGAACACATCTTTAGGAGTGGGGTTTGTCGGGAAGTGCTGGGTGGGGTGGCTCCTCTCCTCGACGAGGCTGCTGCCAGCTGCTGTCTTCCTCCTCTGTGTGGATACATCGCTCTCCATCATCATCATTTTTGATGTTACTTTCATCATCTGTCTGACTATAGCTTGCCTGGGAATAAGGAATGTGTAATTTTTTTAAAAGATGAAAACTGTTTCTAAATCAGAGTTATGAATCTTAGGATTTCCCTTTCCCCAACACACACACACACACACACACACACACACACACACACACACACACACACACTGTACTTCCTTCCTATGCCAATCAGGTGATTAGGGACAGATGTCCTAAGACAATGTGCATTGCTACACTTTCTGGAAGAGAGGACAGGAAGTCCTTCTTGTTGAGTCTCTTTCTTAAAGGGTTTTTGAGCTATCTGGAAAGTGTGAGTAACATGAACAGAAATATCTGTGTTGTCCTTTGTGCAACGAAGGAGAAAATATTGACCATCACAATGCTCTCTGGACTTTTTTAAAAAACAAAATCCACTTTCTGTGGTTCTGATGTAACTGGTCAAGGACAGTGATACACTATGTGGCCAGAGGATGAAAAAGGAACAAATCCAAATGAGAGTGGGCCGAAATGGAGAACACTGAGCTGAGGACTAACCATTACGTATGCTCTTTCTTCAAAGATGGCTAGTGGAAAAGCAGTAAGCCAGGTACGCTGTTTACTTGCTTAGTATTTTGCTAGGTATAAGTGTATTTCCAAATAGGCCTAACGTGCCATTTGAGCAGAGGATGAGCCATCTAGGTCTCTAGTGCCCCACCTTCTGCTCTGTACCCATGTAGGGCTTGGCCATGGCAGATGGCTGACTGGCATGAAGATGATGAAATCAGCTCAGGATCCGTGGATAAGAGATGCATAATTGTTGGAATAATTTTTAGCACAATCATAAAGTCCAAACAAAAATATTTTAAGAGTATGAACTTTTAAAAATTTCAATGGTATTTCTTGGCTACATTAAGAAAAATTATGGTAGGATAGAATAGCTACAAAGATAAAAAGCCCCTAGCCTTTGTAGTGTTCTATTTGATTTTAAATGAATTTTGCCTAAGTGGCTGATTTAGCAACAGGCTGGTTCTGTTTAGAGTCTTGTGGAATTGCCAACTAGCCAGGGTAGCTGATGCAATAAAATGGCTGATGTCACAACTATTTAATTTTTCACTCCCCAATTTTCAACAAAAGATTTTAAAATGTCTTAAGAACTTTCAGGGTGCTGAAAAATTTCACTTTCAGCAAAAAAAGAATCCTATGCCAATTTTATGTAAGTTTATATAAAAGCTCTTTTTTTAAAAGAAATGTTTTTCCAAGAATTAGCCACTAATCTTTAAACATATACAAAAGAAAAACAACCATATTGCTGAAGTGAAGGGAAAGGAACTACTTGTTAAAGGAAAAGGCTTGCTCCTTTGAGACTAAATTTGTTATAACTGGAGTGGATATTTTCAGAAACTGCTCCTGGGAATTTTTCCACTTGAGTCATAATGAATCCAGAGAGAATGTGGTATTGCACATTCAAATTTAAGGGAGGAAGCATAGAATGTGGTCAGAATTATATTTCCTCACAGCTTATAAAGTATATGTCATCATAGCAATTATGTGAAAATTTACTTTGCTTAATCTTCATCCAAAGATTCAGACAGGAGGTCAGTAGTGTCCAAGCTAACCTATGCTCTTTACTAATTGAGATATAGAAGATATATATACATATATATATATATATATATATATATGTATGTATATATATATCATGTTTTAGTGTAGCAACCATAGTAGGCGAAGTTTATTATCAACTGCACTATTGGAATTCCATGGTTGGAAAGGACTGTATATCTGTAATAGACACAAGTCCTGGGGCCACTGCACCCAGATTACTGTGGGAAATGATTAGCTTTGAACTATAATGGGGTCCATCTAAATGGCCATTAGCTCCTGCCAGAGAAGCCGTCTAGATATATGGGACAGTGTAGCCCAAGGTCTCTCAAATCATCGTTGCATGTGGCTGTCTGGACTTTGTTTATAGAAGTAGAGCAAGCCAGCCGGTTCTGAGTCTCAGGGGTTCCCATACACTTACAGCGCTGCAACAGCAGCTCTAGGTATTAAACTGCTTAGAAAACATGGAGCTTAGTGGCAGGAATATTTGTGTATGTTCATAATAAATTATAGTGTCCCTGTCATTGTGTTAAGCACTTCAAAGACTATATTCCTGGGAGTACAGCTTCTCTCTGAGGTAGATATTACGACATATGTTGTGTAAAACTGAGGCTAATACAGGTCAAATAATTTGCCTAAATTTATGCTGCTAAGATTTGGTGAAACCCATATTTGAAATTCATTCTTGTAGAGTTCAAGCTTCAGATTACTGCATTGAAGTGATCCTGCCAGCCATGTATAATTCTTTCTACATTAAAAAGTACTGGTCATTTTACATATATTTAGGTAAATTCTTGGGTTGGGATCACATAACACATAAATATTATTATAAATTAGTTTATATCCTTCTGAATTACATGATACATTTGAATTAGTTTTCTCCAAAGTACAAGGCTGCAGAATTCTTTTCTCTGTTTTGATTCTTTCATTTCTTTAATGAAACTTGATTTTGCTTTCACTTGTTAAAGTACAGACTTTTGGCTTTTTAGACGCCGAGTTCAGCATGACTAAGGGGATGATCTATCTAGAGATGCTGAGCAAGCCAAGCTTTTTCTTTTCAAGTGTTAAAGAGTGGCTACTCTGATGTCAGATGCACTGGTGATGGGGCTACCTTAGTTTCCTAGCCAAAGAGGCCTCTGGAGTATCTCTGCTGTTTCTGTGAAAATTTTCCTAATCAACAAAGTAAAAAAAGTCAACTCCCAAAGAAGTTTGGGAAATTTCCGCTGGAGTATAGTGACATACTCTATAAAGTGAGATGATTCTTTGATCTTAGCAGGAAAGGAGGATACTGTATCACACAGAAAGAAACACCTATGACAGAGTGATTGTGAATTGAGGCTACAAGTTATCAGAATTCAGTGTACAGTGTCCATGTTTCCTCCTAAACAAGAGGGTACTTACTTGAGAGGAGAGTGATAAAAGGATATTGCATTCAACCTTGCAAGCTGACCTGTGGGTGACAAAGGACACAAACAAGAAAGGTGACATGTCAAGTCAGTGATGCAGTCAAGCTGGTGAATTATTTGGCTGGAAGCCATGCACAAAGACAGAAAGAGTCCAGTGAATGAAAGTAGCATTCAGAACCATCAATCACTGTCTGTCCACAGAACATTCAAGGAAAACCACTGCAGCATTCTCCAGGGCATACTATGTCTCAAGTGAGGACACAAGGGCTTGCTACATTTTTCTCAGCCTTGTTTCTACCTTTCCAGTGAAGTCACCAGGTGTGGAAAGGCAAGGAGAGAGACAAGGAGCTGAAGACTTACCAGAAATGGCCAAAAATCCAGTTGAATCTTAAGATATCAATACAATTTCTCTTCAGTTTACTCATCTAAGGTTAAATTCTTAATTCATTGAAATACATAAAAATCTAATACTTGATATGGAATGATGAGAGGTTGCCTCTCTTTAAAAGAACTTCTAGAATTTCAATTACTCTTGTCATCAAAATCTGGAAACTGATATGAGCTCAAAGAGGAAGGCATAACAGGCGTCTCTAACAGCATGAACCAGAACAATGATTATTTAGACTCATCTCGCTCCCTCTTTGCACAGAGCCCCTTAAGGTACTAGTAGGAATGTCATCCCTCAGAGTCCCATCGAGGTCCTGCCAGCTTCATTCCAGGCCAATTCTTTTCTGTAGAGGAGCCATGGAAGTCACAAAGAGTGCACCCCATGGCTTTGCAATTGGCTATGTTTTGTAGCATAGGAGCATGGCTCCATATATGTTATCACTTGTTTGTATAATTAGAATGACAGTTTGGTTTCTTCTGAAATGTGGCTGTTAAACTGAAAGGCCATTGGAACATTTCAAAGAGGTAATACTTTGTTTTGTCCTGTAGAGTGAAGTTGAAGGGCTTTAGTTTTCTTCTTGCTACATTCTTCTTGGGAAACTATCTCAAGGCTTAATGTACAAATATACAAGAACTAGGAGACAATTCTCTCAGTTTCACTGTCATTGACTAACAGAGTAAGAGAGGGTCACTGCTGTCCTGAGGATGTGGAGAAAGCCTGTGTAGCCACTGGATAGAAAGTCTGACAGGCAAACAATACCCACTGGCCAGGGACCAGCAGGTCTCCAGCAGGCAAACCCCTGAGCTAACAACACACCTTCAACAACACCTGTGTTTCGAAAAGAAAGGATGCACACAGAGAAATAAACAAGGCCATGGAACCATCCCAGGGGAAACTGCACTGCCTTCAGGGTAAGTGACTAATCACATTTATTCTTAGCTGCATGTGCATGTGTATGAATTATCAGATGGGTTAATACACTCCAGGCTATCTCACGATTGTCTTATCCTCACCCTGCTGAACATGGGCCAAAAGGTCCCCTGATGTTTCTCAGTAAGTCTTGTCACCCTTCCACTTACCTACATTAGCATGAGATGGGCATTGGAGAAGGTTGTGGACAACAGATACATCAGGGAGGAGGTCTTATGTTTATTCAATTTCCTTATACTCCGTTCCTTGTTGCTGTCTCTTTTTCTCCTCCCTCCTCCTCCTCCTTCTTCCTCTTCTTCTCTTCTTTTTTCTCTTTCTCTTATCTCCCCCCCTTTCCTCCTTTTCTTCCTCCTCTTCTACTGAAGACTCAACTCAAGGGCCTGGACAAGTTAGCAAAGTGCTCAATCACCGAGCTACATCTCGAGTGCCTTCTGATTTTTAAAATAGAGTATCCCTAAGTCATCCAGGCTGGCCTCAAACTGGAAATCCTTTTGCTCAACCTGCAAATATGTGGGATTGTAGGTGTGCACCACCATGCCCAGCTTTCCTTTTTCATTTATGAAAACACAGCGTCTTAATACTTAGAGGAGTTTCGATTATTAGTTGCTACTTTTTCACTAATGTCATGGACCTCCTTTTCACTTTCCAAACCAGACCTAATAAGAATGCATGGTGAGTGACAGCCATAAGAAATATGTAAAGCTGGGCATGTGGGGCATGGCTGTAATCCCAGAGCTCTAGCAGGCTGATGCAGGAGGATCACAAATTGAAGTCCATCCTGTGCAATTAGTGACTTAGTGAAACCCTGTCTCAAAATAAAAGCAATTTTAAAAAGGGCTGGTGATGCAGCCCAGTGCAAAGATTCTGAGTTCAATCTTTGTGCTGAAAAAAGACTGTAAAATTTTTACTGTCTGGAATGCACAGATTAAGGAGTACCCTCAGGATGTTCTGGAAAGCATGGTGAAAGGAAGGAGTAACGTGAAAGGCTCATCTACCAGGCCTGGGCTGTGGGTAGAGGTGGGGTGGAGGCACCTGACTTCTGTACCTGGTAGGCTTCATCTTGCAGCTTCTGTTTCAGGTATTCCTCCATCTTCAGCTCATTCTCCAGCTGCTGGACTGAGTCATTCTCATAGTTTTCTTCTTCTGGCTGGACATAGGGGTCTCCATCTTCAGCAGCTCTGGGAATAAAGTGCAGATGGCATTTTGGAGAAAATCTTAAAAAAGTATGAGTGGGATTCATGTGGTAGCTGTAGTTAGTACATTTATTTTCCTATGGTTCTCCAACTTACTTTTCTCCCTTCTTCTATCTTAAGGAAAATTTGTTAAATGTTGGAGGTTTGGAGAATAGATCATTAAAAATCTTGTCATACACAATTTTTTTCCATGGCAATAGGTTCATCTATGTTTTTCTAGGGTTTATGAGAATGGATGGGCCCCTCTACGTGCTCTATAGTCTTCTTCTTCTTCTTTTTTTTAACGTGCTCCATATTCTTAAAAAAAGACAAACTTGTCTTTTGAAAGAATATTAAGCTGTCCCAACATAAGGGCTTTAAAAAAATAGAATTGAAGAACAATTTTTATAAGGGGAGTGAGCCCTCTAGTGAAATAATGCTTAAGGACATTTGTTCATAATGTGTTTCTCTCTCCCTCTGCAGTACTGAGGAAGGAATCCAGGGGTACAAATACACTGAACCACTTTAACTCTTTTAAATAAATAAATAAGGGTCTTTCTAAGTTGCCCAGGTTGGGCTTCAATTTATGATCCTTCTGTCTCAGCCTCCCAGAATGCTAAGATTACATGGATGGGCCAGCATAGCCAGTTTAATTAAACTCTCTTTGTGTTATACACAAAGGATTTATTTTTATAGTAGAATTAAGTCTTGGGCTATCAATAAGTTAATGCCAAGCAGGCTCATCCTCTATCCCATAGCTCTTGAATTTAAAATTTTATACTAGCTCTGAACTTGAAAAATCCATTTAAATGGTCTAATTTCACTATGAAATAGGTAAGAATGACCTCACCCATAACATGAGACCCTATCTCCATATATTCAGCCTAGAAGGCATAAGGTGCTTCATGGGGCTGAATGAAAATTCACTAACTGAATCACAGGACTAGAATGTTCTCAGGTACAATGCAATACTTAATGTTTGACAGTAAAGATATTAAAATGTTCCCTAAAATTTTCATTTCTTTCAAGAAATTGTTTGTGGGCTGGAACTTAAATCACCGTTCAGGCTTATTTACATCTGTATGACATATTCTCGTTATTTTTGGAGGGATGGGGCCTGATATTGAGTCTGTGAGGCCCCTGTCGACATCCACTTCCACACTCCCCAGTCACTTGGTGGTAACTGATCTCACTGTGAGGGATGCCAGGCACTGCAGACTGGTAATGATAGTGGTCTTTAATAAATTCTAGATTTCAGGATTGACACAAAAGATTTTTAGGTAGACACCATGTGAATGCTTAACAATAACAAGTCAAAGAGATATGTATTTACCAGACAACATGGATGACAATTCCCCATTTGGAATAACAAACAAATCAAGCAATCCTAAAATATAGAGGAAAGGAAAAGAAAGCAAACTAAAATTAGAAGCAGCTGCACGCTGCCATTTCAAATCACTTTGTAACTGTCTTGTTCTGATTGTACACGCTGCTGCTTCACATCTGGCTTTCAAAGGAGGCCTCTTTATAACTCTCCATGATTGCTGCTGGTCCTTTACTTGCTTGTTGGATTGACAGCCAAAACACCAGAAAGACCTCTGGTTAGTTTCTTCTCCAGGTCTTTAAAATAGCCAGTTTATTTTTGTAGACTAGTCCGAAGTACTTTTCACAGTAAGTGTCACCCTTCTGTCATCTTTTAATGTTTTCCAGTTCCCTTTCTCAGCCTTTAGCCATGATTCCCACAACTCCATGAAACTCATGCTTCAAAGAGTTCATTTCCTTCCCTTCTTTTGTTTTGCTTTATTCCTTCCCATGCTGGGCTCTGCGGCTCAATGCTAGCTTTGCCTTTGTTTCTCAGCCTCTATTCCCTCTGCTACTTTAAGTTGAGGGTCACAGCTAAATCTAATGGGAACATTACTGAGTGTACAGGCTCAAGTCAAGCTACAAAAACCTACTAGGGTGAAAATCTTTGCAGAGTTGTCTTCTTGGGAGAGTCAGATATCTCTTTATAATGAAATTTTAATGTGAAAAAAAGCAGTGTACTTTCAGTAGCAATCATACTTTGAACCCTGAATCATTTGGCAGGCTACTGATGTGCAGTAAATACTGTTCTCAAAGCTGGGCTGCAGCAGCAGCAGCAGCAGCAGCAGCAAGCTGCAGCTCTTAGTCAGCCACGTTGGTCAGGAGTGCACAGGATAGACACTCTGCAGGGTGCTGTGCTGCTCAGCTAGGATGTTCTATAGCTTGGCTGTATTAAATGCACTTTTGGCTCGTGATATTTTCAACTTTTGAGGAGCTTATCAAGATATACCTTCATCCTAAGTTGAGGAGCATCTGTGCAATCAGCACAGGTTGGTTTTGTTTACTGATACTCCCCGGTAAGTGTAAGAGTGGAGTAGGGAATAGTCCCTGAGTCAGTTTTAAATGTAGCACCTCCCTGACTGTTTTGGCAGAAAGGGAAATTGGATCGTTCCTTTCCAAAGTAAAGGACTAAACAACCATGTTTTGGCTTTTATTGCTCCCCATTGATTGTTCTGTTATGGAGACTCTTATACTCACATGTCACTGCTTGTGGTAGCTCCCCCATGAATGTACCCAGGTTTTCGAGCATGGATTTGCGCTAGAAAAGCCTTTTCAGAGGTGGGCGATGGAACAAGATCCTCAAACTGAGTCCGTGCAAATTCAGAATCCACATTACTCTCTGCTTCACTCCCCACTTCTAGTGGTACAGTTGAAGAAATAAAGAATGACTTGTTAGATGTTTATTGACCTTCAAATAAAGGACTGGACTTAACATAAATCAACATGTGCTGTATAAAACATTAGCCAGTTACTGTACATTAGTCAAATCAATATTTTTCAAAATAAGAATCATACGGACACAAATTACTATAATTTGGTATGCAACATTTTCTTTTTTATCTCAAAAACATTATGAGGAATTTTCCATAAAAAGCCCTCATTAAAATTATTTTACTTAATCTTACTCTAATTTAGAAAATAAAACCCTAAAATATTGCAGTTGCTATTTCAAAGAACTATAAAAGTATGAACTAATAGTGCATGAGACTTACCACAAGAATAACCCTATTATTTGTTAGGATAGTGGTGTGTTCATTAATCCTGCTACTTTATCCTATTTGATGATCTTAAATAGAAGCAACAATTTCCAATTACTTTAATTCTTATTAGAAATTTAAGCTCAGGATTTAACAAAAATAAAAGTTGTATTTTGTATAGTTGTTGTAATCTCAGCTATGTCTATAGTCCAGCCTAGCAAATATCTTGCTAGATTTGTGTTAAGAAATAGATGGAGAGGGCCGGGGTTTTAGCTCAGTGGTGCCACAACCTGCCTCACAAGCTCAAGGACCCAAGTTTGATCCCCGGTGCCAAAAAAAAGCAAGAAATAGATGGAGACACATTAAACCTGAATATACCAACAGAACATCACATAGATCTTTAAAATATTCTTTTATATTTGACAATGAGCAGGTCCTGAAGAGACCCTTGGGTGGATGGTTCCTCTGTCATGAGCAGACAGGTGAGAGGGCACCAGGGACTCACCCGAATTCAGCTCTTTCACCAGAGAGGACATGGTGTTCGTGATGGAATCCGCTGCCACTAGCAAGTCATTCCTTAGATTTCTTCTTGAGCCTTCAGTGAAGAAGAAACAATAATTTAGGAAACCTGAGATATTCCTTTACCAACAGTTTTTATGTTGTTTGGCATTTCCACTGTCAGCCTTTTGCAACAAAAGTTCTGATATTTCTCGCTTTCAGAGGTGCTTTGGTTCATGTCTTGACCACAAAAACAGAAACAAACAAACAAATAAAACCCCCCCCAAAAGCTACTGTGCTGTGGCCCCTGATATAAGAAGACATGGCTAAAGACAGTGGCTCATATAATTTATTGTCTAAATTGGGACAATGTTGAAAGAGAAAGGGCAGGGCATTCATAATTCTGGGTGACCTGGCACAAACTGGGAGGGTGGCAGGCAAACCAGCATGTGCACATGCCCTTCCTAGGAACACACAGATGAAGACTCTAGTCTGCCAGGAGACCTACACATTCCTATCTACTGTTTTGGTTCCAGCTACTGCTCTGTGGCCGAGGACACTGGATTATGATCTCTGTCAACACAGGTGTGGTCCCCTATCAAGGCCTCTAGAACTTTCCCAGCAGGTCAGGACCTCCTGGGAATAGGAAGCCCCTGAACTCTATGCTTCTAAAGGACGAGAAATGGGTGAGGATTCTTTCTCCTGCTCCCACAACATGAGCACATACATGTCTGGTACCCTGAAGTGGAATTTGGATCAGATTAGATTGGAACATAGTCTACGGAAGAAAAATATTATTCTTATATTTCAGGAACACTAAGTTAAGTGGATATTTGTGGACTGGTCTGGGAGTGAGATAAAGTGAAGTTGAAACAGAAGGCTAATTAGCAAAATATATTTGGAAAGAAAAGTTCAAGATTTCAAATACCTGAAAAATGCAATTATGTAGAATGAGCATTTTATGAGCTAAGGGGTGCCTTGGGGCCATACTTCATTGTAATTTCCCCAAAAGCAATATTAACTAAGAAAAGTAATACATATATTTAAATTTTAAAAACTCAAAGTAATTAGATAGGTACATTAATTATAATAGAAAGCACAAGTTGATTTAAAATACCAAGTCTGTACAACATGATTTGGAGAAAGGATATTTGCCTTCTAAATTTTTTTTAAAGTTGTCTTGTCAGTTGCATAAACTGTTTTGAATTAAATTCAGTGCTTAGAAGAAAAAGCCCTAATAGGAGTCTTCTCTTTTCATACTAGAGTAGAAGGTCTACTATTCTCTCATTAAAATGTGTTTTTGACCCCATGTATTATGGATGACAGTGTCTGTTTCCTCAATCTTGATGTCCTTGGATATTATCAGTGGTAAAAAAATCTACTAGGAAAAAGGTGATATTTATTAAAATTTGTGTTCCAACAATTATTTGTGAGGTTGAACAGTTTTTCATGTATTTTTGGGTAATTTATATTTCTGCTACATGTTTGTATCCTTCATCTATCTTTTTATGGGGTGTGTCATTTACTTACTGATCTCTACATGCTTTATGTATATCGGAAATTATGAAAACTGACTGTCACATGTGCTGGAAATCATTTCCTCATGCTTGTTTTTGTCCTTTGATTTTGTTTATGCTGCCCTCTGCCTTAAAATTTAAACTAAAACATGTCTATCTTTTCCATTCATCTTTATGCGAGGATGTTCAAAGATGTTCAGGATACATTTCTAATTCTAAGAAACACAAATGCAACACATGACCTGATCTGTGTGTCGGGGTGGGCGAAGAGTATGTATCTATATACATAATGAATATATATCTTTGTAATAGAAACATAAAGTTGAGAAGTTAGTAGTGGTTACTTCTAGGAATGAGATTGACCTGGTTGAAAGAGTGTACAGGAGAATTTTCTTCTTTTCTTATACTCTGTGAATGTAAAAGTGATTGTAAGAAAAATGTGAAGTCACTCGCCTTGAGGCACTCCTTACTCCTTGCCCACAAAGAAAACTGGTTGTTACCTCCAGCCCTCTTTGCTCTCCTTTGTTGACTGTGGAGGTCCGACCTTGCAGCCCCGTATTATACAAGCAAGGATACAACTTTCAGAACATCTTAACAGGGGATCTAGGAAATCAAAATCATGCATGTCTTCCTCTATCACTTCACAGTTAAAGACATGGGGTTATTTAAGCTCAGCCTTGACTTTCTTTGCTTTAAGGGAAGACATGGATGTTAAAATGGATTATATTTATAGTTTCCTGGGAGACTGGTTAAAATATTTCCTGTAACTTGAAGAACAAAGATTTATGAAGAAGGCTTATTTAGAGGCAGGACGACGGGAGCCAAAGGAAGGTAGAATGGTGAGGTGAGGAGCAGATCAGCACAGGAGTGTCTAAGACAGGCTCTGGCACAGCCATGGGCTCCCCTGGTTCCAGGTGTGTCTCTGATGAATCTCCACCACTCTTTGGACCTTGGTGACTTATCTGCCACTGAAAGCCAACCAGAACAAAAACACAAAAGCACTTACTTTGTGCAAACGCCTCTTGGACATCTCCCCCTACCCCTGTGAGAGAGTCCTGAGGCGTGCGCGTCGGGGTGGAGCAGGCAGACGCTGAGCGGATGGGCATGGGGATGGGCCTGCTGATGGTGTGGCTGGGGGAGGAGCGAGGGGAGCCTGCCCCCTGGGTCTGCAGAGACAATGCAAGTTATTAATTTTCCAGGAAAATGCCACGTACCATCCCAATGTCTAGGTCCTATGTTAAAAACAGTGACGATGAAATTTCAAAGCAAGGGGAATTCTTAGGGAACTGAGATGGCCATCTTAAACCTAAGCTGTAGTGCAGATGATTCAGGGCTTTATCACATATACTCTGAAGTTTGGGTTAATTATTGAAAGCTAAGAATATTAGTACAGCATTGCCCTATAATATATGACATGTGCCAATATAAGAAGCTGTTACTGAACAGAGATCATTACAACATGTGTATATTTTCTCTATGAAGGAAGTCTATGTACTATGAAAAGATTCTAAAGAAAAAGTTTTAAACACAAACTAGGGGACTGTTTGAAATGGATATGGTGTATTTGCTTCCTAAAGTTTTCAACTTGTCTGTTGATGTCTGGCATCATCTTTAGAGGATAATCCACAGCAGAAATCATGTAGTAATATTGTGCATATTAAGTCTCAAAATAAAATCAAATAAATTATTTATCTCCATTTTACAGTTACAGCTGATTTTGTTAATTGCTCTGTGGATCAGAGATTTATATGGCTAAGAGGACAAAAAATCTTGGCTTCTTTTTTCATTAATTAAATTTATTTTTAACTGGTAGATAGAAAAATTGTACATATTAACATGATACCAAGTGATGTTTTGATATAGGTATACATCATGCAATGTTTAAACCAGGTAAAGCACATCTACCTTTCATTATATTACAAACACTTAAAGTCCTATTTTTATCTTTTTAAAATATGAAGTACATAATTGTTATATCTATAGTGATCCTACTGTAAATCGAATAACAGAATTTCTCACTCTCTAGCTTTAACTATAACTAACTATAACTATATCCAACTATAATTATAAAATTTAGTACCCACAGACAACTTTTGCCTGTTTCCCCCTTCCTCTTACTCTCCCCTGCTTCTGGAAACTGCCATTCTATTCTCAACTTCTATGAGATTAACTTTTTTAGATTCCACATATGAATAAGATCATGTATGTGGTACTTGTCTTTCTGTGTCTGTCATATGTCACTTAACATAGTGATCTCCATTCCCATCCATGTTGTTGCAAATGACAGGATTTCATTCTTTTTTTAAATGGTGGAATAGTGTCTATTGTGTATCAATGCCACACATTCTATTTTTTCTTGTAAGACAAGTCATCTCTTTTCCTTGTTCTGTTTTTATAAATTCATTCGTTCATTCATTCATTAACTGATGGGTACTTTCCATCTTTTAGCTGCTATGAATAGTGCTGCAATAAATCTGGGAATGTAGGTGTTTCTTCAACATACTGATTTCATTTCCTTTTGATGAATACCCAGTAGAGAGATTGCTGGAGCATATGGAAGTTCTATCTTTAATTCTGTTAGGAATGGCCATGCTATTTTCTATAATGGCAGTAAGAATTTACATTCCTATCAATAGTGTTTGGAGACAACGTTTTCTCCATATCTTTGCCAGAACTCCTTCTCTTTTGTCTTTTTGATAACAGCCATTATTACTGGAGTGAAGTGATGGTTCATTATGGTTTTCATTTGCAAAAATTTTGGTTTCTCATTTTTGGTTACTGTTTCCTGCAGGAAATGGACTTCTCTTCATCTATGATAAAGCACTATTCTAGCAGGAGAGTAAGTAAGAATCATAGGGTAAGAGAAGGACTAAAGGCAAGAGTAGAAAACAACTAAAAACTCCTTATCCTTTATCACAATCTTTAGCATGGGACCTTTCTGAGATAATCACATCTTCAATTTTAATGCTTTGTCTGTATGAGGTCCCTTGAAAACAGTCTTTCTGCTTTAATAATTAGTCAACATAGTCAACTATGTGAAATAGGAAGAAAGGGCTAAAGATGTAGGGAAAGTGGGAAGGGTAGGAGAAAGGTAATAAGGGAAAGAAAAAAAATAGGAGAAAATGAAAAAATGGAAATAAAATGTTTGTAAATGGGGAGGGGAAGAGGGAGTGAAGGGAGGGCAGGGACAAGGGGAAAAAATGAGAACCAAGACCTGTCATGTAAAGGTACAAGATCCCAGTAATGAATGTAACTGTACTGCATACCTAAAATGTACCAATAAACTCAATGAGAAAAAAAAATTAGTCAACAAAGAAAGACAGTCAAACATGCATGTAAGAAAATGCATGGAGACTTTCATGCATACACAACAAGTTAGGGGTTCACATAAGTTCCACCCCGGTATTGGGGCTGGCCTGATACAGTGAAAACTCTTCTATAGTAAGGTCCACAGATTCAAACCCATTCAAATTCCTAGACATGCACTATGAGAGCAGAGCTCTGGAATATTCTATTTAGATCTTTGGTTTGGGTTCAGTTGCTTGAAGTTAAAACATACAACATCAATCCTGTACAGTACCATGCGGTTAGCTCACCAGGGTTCAGTATCACACAGAATTATCAAATCTATAAATTGAGGAAAACCCAGAATCAAAAACAAACAGAACAGAACAGAGCACAGAAAAAAAAACTCTTGCGATGCCCAGTGGGCTGAGTTGTCCATTCTTTCACTCTCAACAGTACCTTGTAATGATCTGTCCAGGCTCAGGGTAGAGAACTTGGCTGAGTTGTGATGTTTTGCAGCCTGCTTTCCTCATCCCACTCAAGGAAGAGTATGGTTTTCCCAGCAAAGGTTGGTAGCTCAGCCCCATTGCCTTGAAACTCTGCATCTGAGCTACCATGTGTCCCTGGCTGCCAGTGCCATAACAGTTAACTTCACATAGGAGTTGTGCTTTATGAGGTTGAAAAGGCTTTGCATACATTCTTATTGATTTCTCTCTGTGACCCTGTGAAGTGGGCACCATCATTCTCAATGTGCAGTTGTGGATCCCAGAGCTCAGAGAATGAAAAGAATTGCTCTCTGGAGGTGGAGCCAGAGTGGCAGGGCTGGTGCTGAGCCCAGAGCTCTGAGAACTATGGAAAATAGGAACCTTGTTGTACTATGGCTAGAGAAGTGTCCTTCAAAGGAGACAGACGCTGATTGGGTACCCTGATCTGGCCACACCTCCTGTGCATGCTTTTCAAGCCAGGGTCCTCAGCAGGGCTCCTGGCTTTTTCTTATCTGTCTTTTTGCCAAGGGACCAGTCACAGCAGGAAGAGGGACAGAGTAGTGGTTGTAGAAATTAGCTCCTCTTGGATGTATAATCTGAGTTTTCCACATAACCCCAGGGAGCCAGAATGGTAGGAAAGTTTACAATAACAATGCAATTTCATTGTTGTGAAATATAAGTTGTGTATATAAGTTAGTGTATAAAGTAATGTTATATATGTTGTTTTGTTTCATTTTCTAATGGCAGTAGAAATCGTGATATACTAGAACAGCAAATTCACAGTGTATAAAGCACTTTAACCCCCAATACTTAATTTAAACCTCTTAACCATATAAGGTACTATTATTTTCATTTTATAGATTGACAGCAAGGTCCTTGACTGAGTGGATGGCAGAGATAAAAGGGATCCTCAGCCTTTAGACTATAGACCCAGGGCTTTTCTACAACATCACAGATGCTTTTAAGGACAGCAGATGCCGTTTCTCACTCTGTTTCACTAAATTTACAAAGCTTTAGCAACCTGAGGCTGAAAAGACCCAGGGCTTATTCCCAGTTGGAATAGGATCCTGGGCCTCCTGCTGGGCCAGGCAATATCTTTAAGTTACTGGGTCATGGAAGAGGTTTGGATGCCAGTTGGAAGGAGAACCTTTGGGTTTTTTGTTTTTGTTTTTTTTTAAATCTAGTACAGAAGTACAAGTCCACAATCTCTAACCTACAATTTTGAAATCTAAGAAGCTCTGACAACACAGGTTGTTTCATAATGAATTTGGCCAGTGGAAAATGAGGCCATTGATAAGGTACCTGGCTTATGTTGTCCTTCAAAATCTGCAGTATCCTGAATTCTAGAACATATCTGGATCCAGTGATTTTAGACATGTGATTGTGGAGGATATTTCAATATTTTGCTCTATGATACCAGCCCTGCATGCACCTGTTATGCCAGGTTCTCCAGCATAGGGCACTCATGGGGCTTTGCCTTTGTAAAGCATTTATGAAGAGAACCATACAGGTGGTCCCTTCCACTCTCCTTCCTGGGAACTTCTGCTTACAGGTGTGTGTCTGAAGCATTTCAACTCTGTCTCTCCTTGCTTAATATCTGATCTGCAAAACCAGGTATCCCTATTCCTTTCTACTTCCTGTCTCTAAAGCTTCCATTAGTGGTTCTGTGTAAAGAGAAAAATAATTGATGGTGGTGATGTGTTTAGGGGAAAAAATAACTGACTCTAAATTGCATCTATGTGTAAATGACTAATAGCTACCATTTCCCAAATGAATCTCTAATTGGCACAACTTCAAGCAGTCTCATGACATGAAGAATTTAGATAGAAGATTTTGCCTTGAAGAAAACATCTAGTTGCATCTTTTCCAGCTCCCAAGTCATATTCAGTCTTTACCCAGACTTGCAGGAGTAGATGCTGGCTGACTGATAGATCCTAGCTCAATCTTTCTTTGTTGGGACACTACCCAATTTGAAACACAATACCTTCCTAGCACCTACTGTGGAAAACACCTTGTCTGGTCTTTCTTTTTGTTCCATTCTTGGAAGGTCACTAGAATAGGGCAGATGCCCCTTTGCATTTGGGTTCTTAGTGGCAATTCACTGAGTTTCATTTTCACAGGTGATGACCCCTGTAGATGGTTGTCTCTGGCCTGATCATCAAACATGGACATCAGCTAACAACTTTAGAAGAGTTAGTATGAATAACTTTTATAAGCATTGTTCCTTGGAAATTACTCAGTGATTAATGGAGCAAAGATTTAAGGGACGATGGCCCATGCAGATCAATAAATAGTTCTAAAATTTCCAAGGAGAGAGTTGATTTATGGAAGAAGGAAAACATATATCACACTTGCCAAATTTAAAATAGCCCTCTTCCTAGAGAATAAATGAAAAATTAATTTCTACATGCCACTCTCTGAGTTCATTCAACTTGCTGTTGCATCAATTTTTAAAAAGTTTGAAAAGATCCATAAATTTTCTTTCCAGGAAGTATGTTGATTTCTATTCAGCTCTAAAAATGAAGAATGTTTCAAGGGAAAAGGCAAAGGTCTAGAGCCTGAGCTAGCCTACCTTAATGAAACGCAGAGCATTATGCACCCCGCCCAAGTCTGCCTTTTAGGTTTGTCTACAATTGCGTGCTGGTCATTCCTGGTTGTACCTAGTGTGTAGCACATTTCTTCTAACACAGTTCACTGACCATCACTGTACTTAAGATAATTTCTACAATTTGGCATCTTAAAGGGTTTGTTGTATACAAACTATACTGGTCAGGCAGTAGGTGTTATTTGACTTGAGCCTTAATAGTAGAGATTTCCAGGAAGGAAAGATGAAGTACATCCGGGTTTTGGAATAGCCTAATCAAGGCGTGGGATATGTGAGCGGCATACAAGGGATGGCAGGGAGATCAGTGGGGCCGAAGCACCAGGTTCCCTGTGGAGAGTAAGAAAACATGAAGCAGGGAAGGGAGGAGCCGAGCTTGGGGCTTGTAGGGTGGAATGGATCCTGATCTAGAGTAGAGGGCCAACTGAAGATTTTAAGCAGAGCAATTATTTTTATTTATCTAGAATTAACCTCAAATTTAAAATAAAACAGAAGATAGAGACTCTGAGAGGGTATATTTTTGAAAATTAAATATTAATATTTATATTGCAGTTGATTATTTACAAGGTGAATTATTCCCTCCCTCATTTTGACTGGTTCAGGACTCCACAGAAAACCCATTAAACAGGATGGATGAGCAAGGGAAAAAAAGGGAGGTAAAAGTCAGGCTGGCCAAATTGTTCCTTTTTGGCCTGATCATATTGCGTAGTATGTTTGGAAGAAGAAGAACCTGAGTGACTACAATTTCCTGAGTTAAATGTACCATCCGGTTAAAAATAGAGAAGATAAAAAAAAAAAATAGAGAAGAGACTGGGCCAGGAGATGGAATTTGGGATGGTATTTGAGTTCCCTCCATCAAATTAAAATGATTCTACTATTTAACAGAATAGCAACAATATACCCCTCTCAAATAAGGAACAATTTGATTAAAAAGTTTGAAATGTAGTTTTCAAAGTGAATTCTTATTATAAATTCAAAAAAGAAATTCCTGTTAACAAACACAAACAAGTTTGATCCTTGATTGAAATGTGTAACTTGCACATCTCTATCACAGAGAAATGTATGTCATAAATAAAAACTTTCAGAAAAGATAGTCAACGTTGTGTTTCACATTGTAAAGAATGTTTGACACGTGTAGCCTTTTACTATATTGGCTGTTTAAAAATACCTACACAGAAATGGGTGTCAGCAATAGTCTCCAGGTATTAGCACATCTAGGATAATATCTGACATTACCAGAAATGAAAAGAGATGATCTTACTGGTTTGCTTCTGTCATTTTTTTTCTAAATTAAAGTTACCATTTACTATTATTAAAAGCCATTAGAAGGAATCAGAACTGATTAAAAGTCTTGTTCAAATTTCTTCCCCTATTGGAGACACTGTAATTAAGAAAAACGAATGTGTGTGTGTAAACTATGAGTCCCTTTGTGTGCATCTAAATACGCATATTCAGAGATTCATATAGTGCTTTTACAGAGTGCACTCATGTCCATTATCTTTTAAAATGTGTACAGTAACCCTATGAGCCAGGCATAGAAACGAATTATCACAAAGTTAATTCACTTAGTCATGATCTTACAGTGACTGAAGAGGAGGGCCCACTGTAATGCTGGTCTAATCCAAGTAATCTTTCTAAGAAAATTTTTACTGAGATCTTACTTAAACTAAGAGTCAAATGCTTGGCTTTAGATTGGTCATAATATTTGGAACTAGAAAGATACCAGAAACTCTGGAACATACTGTTACTGCAATTACACCCCAGCTGCCTTCATTATTAAACTTTTTATGAGTGCACGTTTTATGGCCCCTTCAATAACTCTTAAAAGATACACAAAGAAGAGGGTAGGATAACTTCGGTTCAAGTTTTGTCAAAAAAGAATTTATTGCTTGTGATATCATAATAGTCATATTACAGGCACTATTTTTTAAAAATCATGTTATGTCCTCAATGGGGATAAAGTCATGCATTTATACAAGAAACAGTATAAGTAGGAATTATATATACCAGTATAATAAAACACTACATTGAACCACACAGACTTAAGATAAAGCAAGTAGAGGTTATTAAATCAAGCACAATTTGTTTTTGTGGGGTTTTAAAAGTTTGATTTTTTTCAAAGAGAATGTCCCCAGAGGAGGAAGGCTCATAAATGACGGAATTTAGAAGCGTATGCTGGTCTAAAACCTCTAAATTCTCTTCTTAGATCATGTTATACTAGGAGCAGTCTATAGGTATAGATGGTACTTATTTATTTCTTTATGGAATTGCCTCTATAGGGCTGTAACTTTGACTTCTGTCTTTAATTTAGACTGAAGGTCAGTCAGTATGAGAAACAGCCACATGAAATCTATGACTTTGTTTTTCCATTTTATTATTCAGTACTTCTATAAAGTTCCAAGTGAAGACTTTCTTTTATATTTTATGCCACAGAAAGTTTGCTTTCCTGAGAAGTGGCATTCCAATACTGATAGAACCACAGGTCATATTTTCCTTTTTCTGGTTCATTGTCAGAAAGCTCTGAGGAACACCCTTGGCCCTTATGATTCACATATTTACATTTCCTTTCCCTTAGTTTTACATTTTTCTATTTCTGTTTTAGGACGTCACTATTCATATATTTTGTTGTAAGCTGCCTCAGGTCCTTTTTTGAAGAGAGGCTTACGTATAAAAGGAAAGGGATATGAGTGAAACAAGCAAACTTCCCTCCCAGAAACCTGTTACTGACTTCTGGGGGTACTGACTAAGGACCTGTAAGTCCCAATGCTGTTCCACCCACTGCATGCTGCAGGCTGACCTTCCTAGGTACCTGAGCTGGAAGGGGAACCGAGGGGACAGAAAGGCGAGACAGCGGTGATGTCACCTTAAGGGCACTGCCTGGCTGGGCTCTGTGCCTCTGTTTATGAATTTCCTGATCAGAGGAATGTACTGCCTGGGAAATGGTAGGGAAAGGATCCGGAAGGGAAATGTCTGAAGTAAGGCTGACTGACTAAGGGTGATTGTCCTCTTTTCACTAGGAGGAGGAAGGTTGTATTTGAGCAGAATTATCTTTTTAATGCACATGACAAGTAAGAGACAGGAAAGGAAAGAGGCCGTTTGCAAGGAGTACCAAGTGAAAGGTATTTTCTCTGCCATGATCTAAGTGTATTGGAAGCACAGTAGCAATCCCCACTTATGCCTTTATGGGTGGTAATACAGGCTGTCAGTGTGGTCTGTCCACCCCAAAGGGACTATCCCTCTTTAAAATTTGACTTAAATTCAGTAATTGTTTCCACAAAATACAAAATAATGTAGTACATTGTCTTTATTGTCTGTCATTACAGATTAAACACTTTTCCTTTTTTTACAGATGATGGGAACGAAGGATAAAAATGTGTTCAGCATTTTTGCAAACATTCTCTGTTACACACAAACACACAATGAATAATAGAAAAGAGCATACAGAAGAATTAAAAGGTATGTTGAAATTGGACAGGCTGCATTTCTAAGTGATCCATGGAAATGCTCTGAAACTTTTAAATAATGCTTACAAGTGGGATATATTGTCATATACAGTTTGGTACATGCACCGAACAGTAAAGCTGCTTTCTTTTGCCTCTATTTAATTAATTAATTAATTATTATTATTATTACTATTATTATTTTGAGTATGCTACTCTCTTTGTTGGCTTCTGAATCTGACCATATGGGCTAGACAGAGGGCTCCAGTTTATGACAAGGTTTAAAGAAACACAATGCCCCTAACTTGGAAAAAAATGTATGTAATGACCTTGGGAACTCCCAGAGCAGGAAAATTTTGGTGATGAGAAAGGCTGAAAGTTTTCTTTTCATAGGGATTTTTGTCAATCAACATCTGGGATTCTGCTATGGGACAGAACCAAAAAGATGAGAAGGGACAGTCAGCTACTTGGTACAGTCTTTCACATGATTGAGCACACTATGGTAAACAGAGGGAGAGAGACAGGGCCTGGTAATCATTAGATGGTAGGGGATTCTTACAAAAAGTTTCTGCACTTTTTCAACAGAACAGAAGCTGAACTGAATATTCATGGAGAGGACGTGAAGATGTGTATTTGCGTGTTGCAGGTCTTAAGACAACATTAACTTCTGTGTAGTTCTAGTGACTGTGTTTTTCTATTAAGAGAAGGGTCTGATCAACTCAGAAAGCATAAAACTAATTTGAAATGGATACACTGGAGATCTAGCATGTTTCCAACAAATTATAGTTTGTTCCCTCTTCTAAAAGATGTAATAGTTCTTCTTTTGGTGATAGTTATAAAAATGCTAAATTTTATAATCTGAATTCAAGCACTACATTGAAAAGGAAGCAAATTAGTATAATTTTTCTTTTCTTTCCAAACTGAAGCATGAACATACATTAGAGGCAAAAGCAATGAGAAAAACAGCAGGACGGCAGGCCCCTCCACTGTTAGTTAAGACCTGCAGTAGGGGACATAACTTACTCCCTGCTTCAGTTCTTCTTCCTACAGAAAGATTGAATCAATAACAGTTAGATTACCCAGGGTTCCCATAAGAGCATCTACACAGTGTGAAGGAAGGCAAGATGGAGGAAAGGTCAACACAGATTTGAAGGTAGGTCCAGGCCTCTGCCACTTCAGTGATTGTACTTCCAAGTCAAGTAGATATTTGAAACCACAGGCCCATTCCTTTCCTCCATGTTTCCAACCATCTCTCAGCATGATCTGTCTCTCTACCCTAGTGTTTGTACATCTTGGTCCAAAAGCTGTGCTCAGTTGGCCCAGGTTGGTACCAAGATAGTAGGTGGTCAACAGACAACTATCCCAACATTACAGTGGCAGAAGCTATAAGAACACTAGCAGAGGGCATTTCCCAGTTTCATGCCATTCAGTTAAGGATAAGATGAATTCAGATCTCTTTATTTGACATGTTTGGAAAGGGAAGCAGAAAAGAGCTTTTCTGTCAGATCAAACAAGACCATAGGCCAGAAACAGCAGCAGGTTATCAATGATCTAGTTCTGTCTCACTATAAATAATGCAAAACCCCTTGAATTGTACACTTTATGTGTCTAATGCACTAAAATGTAAATTTTGTTGAGTAGCGATAAAGCATTCCCCAAATGGACACTGATGACAAAGAGAAAAAGGTGATAGAGGAGTAAAACAGTAAAGAAAACAAAAGAAAGAAATGTTACAAGTGTAGTGCCAGGGAACAGAGGAATAAAAAAAATAGTTGCCAAAGAAGTTAAAGATAACTGAAAAGAAATACAAAAGGAAGAAAAAAGAAAGAAAAACGATGCAAAGAGGGAAGAAGGAAAGAAAGAAAGAAAGAGTGGAAGGGAAAAAAGAAGGAAAGACAATACAGAAAGGACCAGAGAGATGTTATGTTGGGGATACTGTATACAGGGTATCTACGAATTAAAAGTCAGGACATCTTGTCTCACAAGCAGATTCCTAGGGACATTTCCTTCATTCTTCTATCAGAAGCTTCAATTCTGATAGTTTCAATCCATTTGTGGCAGTGTCAATCCATTTTGATTCATGTTTGTTCATCTTGGGTAGGAGGACCACAGAGCAGTGATAATTCTACTGGCTAACTGTGGACACGTGGCCATAATTCATCTACTTTTTGTTTACAAAGTACTTTAGAGGTGCTGATGAAAAAAATAAGGGTTTACTGAAGGAGGAATGTCACTTCCAAAGTGAATAATAGACTATAGCACTGTATAAAGGATTTCTGTAGATCATCTTATTATTAAATAGTCAAGAGTAAGGAATATTTTCATTTAGAGTTTAATTTGAAATCTGTAGAAGTCATGTGACTTGTTATAGCTATACAAATGGGACAAAATACTGAAATAAACAAAAATTACTCTTAAGAAAACTATAATCACCAAGGTTGTTTAGTGGCTATTTCTTAGTTTTATGAATTGGACATTAGCCTATGTTCAATTTAGTTAGAACTATTGAAAACTGTTTCATAAAAGACACTTCTAAATAAATTCAGTTTTATCATTTTCAAGGACAACATAAAGATCAAGAACTAGAAATAAATAGGTCAAGAGGTTGCTCTATGAAGGTAATTAGCAATCTGGTGCCAGGAAATGGATCAGAATGAGTCTGTAATTGGCTGCTACTGTTTCATGGGTCCAAGAAATGGTTCCATATCTCAGTTTGCAACATTTTGGGGGTAAATCACATATAGGTACTGTACCAGTAAAGTCATTGCATACTATATGCAGAAAAAATTATAAATGTTTTTGTTGTAGGTTTAGAAATATTTATTTGAAATGTCTTACCTTTAGGAGCTTCATGAGACCTTCTAACTGGACCATGAGCTCTCTCCGGCTCTCCTGGAGAGCAGACATTCTCTGTTCCAGCTCATCCTTGCGCTGTCTGAGGAAGAAAAAGTTGTCATTAGAAATAGCATTCAACTCACTGAGGTGATCACATTTTCCAGTTTTGTAGATCAGTGGACTTTCTGAAAAGGGAATCTCCAGTTTTTTGATATGGTTACCAGGCAGGTAACTGTCTTCAAATAAGTGAACATTTGCCTCTTGAACTGTACTTTTTATTTGCTAGAAGTTATACTAAATTTAAACAGAGTTAAAATTCTAACATTTCCTCCTATGCTGAATTAATCATTTAATAAAACATTTTCTGTATATTTATTATGTAGCAGGCCTTGTTCTGTGCCATTGGCTTCCCTTGAGGCAACAAATAAACTCCAAATTGTTTCTGTCAAGGGCCAGTCCTCCAGATCTCTAAATTCAAGGCACCTTTTGTAAATTCATGGAAAATATGTTTTACTTTAGTATGTGCAACTTGGTATAGAAATGTATATTTTTAATCTGTTCCACCCTCAATAGGTAAAATGGTGCCCTATTGAAATATTATGGTACATACTTATCATAATCCATGTAAATTATTTGGTTTGGGTTTGATTTCATAAAGTCAGAATAAAGGAACTCCTACATAGTTGTTCTACAACTGAAAGTAATACATGATGTTTTTGTTTGTTTAATTTCATTTTGTTTTGCTGAACTTCTATTAAATTGTCAGCAAGAATGGAAACCACTAAGGACAATGTACGCTCTGCCATGTATGTTGACACTAAGAAGTACCAAAAATGTCTGCAAAAGGGGAAAGAATTAAAACAGTGTGAAGAAGAGTATTAATAGGCCACATTTCTGAAGTTATGTACACTTCCAAATCAATTTCACATCCATTAATCATGGTCATTAGTGAATAAGTAATGTATACACTTTTTTACTTGCCTCTGATTGAAGTTGGAATATTAAAACTTATACTCTAAATGCCTTAACCATGTATGCATTAATGTATGAATGAACGTAGCTAGTTTCCATGGCACAGACACCGTATTAAGTGGAGCTACAGCAGGGACTATGAAATGAAAAACTGACAATGTAAAAATGCCACAGTGAGTTAGGTCCACGACTCATTCAGTTGAAAGATGTTTATAGGAGGACAGGTTAGGGGTATAAATGAGACACTTTTGGTTTGCTTTCATATAGGCTTTCTCTATGATGCATTCTGAATTTAAAATTTATAAATATCTCAGTCCTTTCTGGATATATTTATGTTTTTGCCACTTACAGCTTACTCCTGCAGCAATTTTCCCTTTACAACTGCCTCTTTTCTGAATCCAGAGAAAGAGGAACATCTTAATTTGAAGCTTTTAGTGGTATCTTATTTTAGTCTTTTTCTTCTTGGGTGGAAGCATTCCAATTTTGTACATCTTTCAAAAATATTCTTCAATGACAAATACTTAGCAGTTTTTCTTCAACTCTTGGTGTTCCAAGTACAGCCACAGTAGGACTTGGGACAAAAATGGATAATATTTCTTATGTATTTCTAGTTTTTTTCTTAATGTTGCTGTATAATTTTTGGCCTTTTGGTTATAGGAGCACCTTGGGAAGTACGTCAAAGCCAAATTCTAATACTGTAAGTAAGAAATACTACAGAGGCATTTGAGATATACTAGAAAAATTAAGCTAGCACTAATTTAGTATTAGCCAACATTAAACAGTCTTAATCTTATTGTAGCAATCTCAAAAATAACACCGAATTAAATTAAAATTATTTAATAGCGCCTTTACTGTATTCAATCTTGTATGCTAGTGTTTGTCAAATGTAAATCCACTAACAAATATGTGTTATAGTCTCCACTATTCCAAGGAGGTATGAGAAAATAAAGACTGAATAGTGATTTTACTTTCCTACAGCTAAGTGTATTCAGCTGTAAAGGAATGCTTTTATTTGAAGGCCTGTTGGATTATTTCTAATTTGGTATGTGTGTTAAAACCTACTTTCTTTTAGGCTAATGTTGGGAGAAACGGCAATATCTTCATACAAATTATATGTAAAACAGCAATATATATCCACACTAATTTCCTGACTTTGAGGATTGTACTGTGGTTTTATATATTTTTTCTCAGAAAATATACACAGAAATACTTAAGGGTGATGGGTTATAATGTCTACAATTTTAAAAAAAATTCTACAAGCCCCAGTTTCCTTATTTATAAAAGTATAATAATAGTATCTATCTCCCAGGTCTGTTATAGCAATTATATGGCACAGCACGGGTAGAGCTTAGTGTATAATAAGTGTCAAAGTAGCACACAGAAATGCCTATTATATAACCATGTCTAAGCTGCAAAGATGGCTTTCTGTTTCCTTGTGGCTAAAGTAAAAAGGGAAACATAATCATTTAGAAAGGTCATAGAGATATTAAGATAAAAATAAAACTATGCATTCATGAAAAGCAAGGTTGCAATGACTTCTTGCTCTCTACTACCCCCAGGTGAAAGACATTTCTCTTGTTGGTAAGAGGCAGCTGGGAAGGATGTAATGGAAACTTTGTGACAGCTACAGTAAGGAGTTCCTATGGCTTGGTTCATGGATGGACGCCCTGTGAACCAATGCCAAGGTCACTTCATAAGGAGCCACTGTTTGGGAGCTCTATGAAAGTCTGAAATGTAACCAGAACAGGAGGTCTTAATCAGGGTATCTGTGAAATTTCCCATTGTGAATACTCTTAGCATAGAATAAGTGGTTTATAAGTGTTTAGCAATGCCCTTCAAGGGAGACTAGTTCTTCCTTCAGGTAGAAGAAATGCGTAGAATATGGAGGCAGGCAAGCAAATCAGCTGGGCCCCCTGATGACAGGGAGGGCCAGTGGCACAGAAGTTCCCAGCAAACCCAGTCTTCTTAGCATAGCTTTGGCTCAGCAGGGGTCCTGTAATGCCCATAAGTCAGGGAGAATTATCACGCTGTTTCAAGGAAGGACAAAATTTCAGCTGGAAGGCACATCATCAATGACCAGGACCAGGGATTTGGCTCAGTGGTGCCATCACCTGTCTCAAAAGCACAAGGTCCCGAGTTCAATCCCCAGTATCCCCGAAAAAGAAAAACAGGAACAACAACAACAACGAAAAGAATAATCAATGACCCCAGGCACATCAGGACTCTTTCCTAGAGTACACTCAAATGGAGCAAAATGCTTTCAAAAGCACAAGCTAAATGGAAGAACCTATGAAAATGTTTAGGAGAAATTCCTAGTAATCATCTCTCCAATAGAGAAACAATGACCGATGGAATAGACACAAAAAGCATTTAAGGTAAAGACAACATACTGCTCTGATGCTGAGAGATGAATGATTACTCTATTTCCATGTTGGCTTCTTCAGTTACATTTCTGTGCCCTTAGATTTAACTTTCAACTTGTGAGAGTGGAGGACCTACACAATCCTATTTTACAAAAGACTGCCAAGCAGGCTTTTCCTCTTAAATGCCTTTATGAAGATACTATGAAACATCACATTTTCCTTTTTATTTGGTAAGTGTGTGCATCTAGTATAACTCATTGAGGGAAGGACAGAAACCAGATGGGTTGAGAAGAAGAATTTTTGTTCCACTGTTATTTTATTATTCAAAAGTATGAAGTGACCACTTCACATTAAGCAGCCTGTATAAGCTGCAGGGTCTGCAGATCTCCCTTCCACATGTGAAGCCTTTGAATGCTATGCCTCAGGCACAGGCCTAAGAGAGCCACAGTGGATCCCAGCTGGAGAGCAGGCAGGGCCAGTGCTCTGGGCCAGGTGGTGCTCAGGTGTTGATATGTCTGAAGAGTAGGGCCGGGATGGCATCCCTACCAGCAAGCATGGCTGCAACCAATAGAGACTTGGTAAAATCCAAATGAGCAACTGAAAACCTGCTTAAGTTAGTCTCTTTATACAGTGACACTAGTTTTGATAATGATTTCAGAGAAGAGGCATCTGTACTTACTACACAAAATATGATTCAGAGTTACACAATACCTGGAATGTACCTGATGCCCAATAGAAATAGAAAATGTGATTCTTGCTAATTAAAAGTGCTTTGAGAGGTCAGTATGAGATTTCTGTGGGGGAATGTCTTTGAATTTATTTTTGTGTTGCTTGCTACACAAGTACAGTTGAACACCTGCTATCTTCGATAGCAGTATGGTATGGAGCCAGCCCTGTGAGGTTTGGCTACACTTTGCACCTACACTTGGCACCATGGGAGTAGTGCGGGTGACTACGATCCCCACCCAAGGCAGGCTACCTTCTAGGTTTCTGACTCTGAGAAGTGCTCTGAAATTCAGGGATTAGTTAGATGACCTTCAATTCCTTCCAACTCAGTTGTTCTAAGATCACAAACTAGTTGAGGCTTTTAAATTCATTTTCAGAATAAAGAGGTATGACATCTATTTTTAAAGACCTGTATGTAAAGCTATTAGGGATCAAGATTTAGAGAAAAGTAGATTCCCTTTTATGGGTTACACATAAACTTGAGAATTTCAAAATGCATAGCAGTTGTTTAGCTATTTATATGCTTGTTTTGTTGAGCATTTGTGACATAAACACACTGTCGATAATGCAGATAAAAAGAGCTGAATTTAATTTTTTTCAGTGAGAGATGCTCTGTTTATGATTTAAAGAATATGGTTTCCTTGACAAAGAAGCCAACCATCCTCAATGGGGAAAAGATAGCCTCTTTAACAAATGGTGTTGGAAAAACTGGATTTCAGTTTTCCAAAGATTATAATTAGACCTCTATTTTTCACCATGCCCTAAACTAAAGTTGAAGTGGATTAAAGACCTAAATATTAAAACAGAAAAACTAAACTTGTTGGAAGATAAGCTAGGTAAAACTCTTGAAGACACTGGCATAGAAAAGACTTCATGAACAAATCCTCAGTAGCATGGGAAGTAGCACTAATTATTAACAACTGGGATCTCATCTTTTTAAAAAGCTTCTGCACTGCAAGAGAAACCACTAACAGAGATAAGAGACAACCTACAATGTGGGAAAAGAATTTACCAGCTGTTCCTCAGAAAAAGGTTCTACCATCTAGAATACACAAAGAACTAAAAAAAAAAAAAAACGGGTCCCCCAAATATAAAGATTCAATTCAAAAATGGGCATCTGAAATGAACAGACATTTCTCAGACAAAGAAGTAAAAGCAGCAAAAACTATCTGAAAAAAATGTTTAACATCTCTGTTCATTCGAGAGATGCAGATGGAAACAACACTGAGATTCCACTTCACCCCAGAAAGAATGGCTGCTATCGGGAAATCAACCAATAACAAATGCAGGCAGAGGTGTAGGGAGAAAGGAACCCTTCATTGTTGGTGGGAGTGCAGACTGGTGCAACCACTGTGGAAATCCATATGGAGATATCTTAAACAACTAGGATTGGAAGTCCCATTTGACCCAGCTATTCCCCTGCTGAGTATCTTCTCTTAAGAATTAAAAGAATCATACCACAGTGATATATGCTCACCCATGTCTATAGTGGCACAGTTTGCAATAGCTAAAATTTAGAAACAGCCCAATTGCCCATCAATTGGAGACTGGATAAAGAAGATGTATTTTTTAAAAAAAATTTTACTCATTGAGTTTATTGGTACATTTTAGGTATGCAGTACAGTTACATTCATCATTGGGATCTTGTACCTTTACATGACAGGTCTTGGTTCTCATTTTTTCCCCTTGTCCCTGTCCTCCCTTCACCCCCTCCTCCCCTCCCTATTTAGAAACACTTTATTTCCAATTTTTCATTTTCTCGTATTTTTCCCCTTATTACCTTTCCCCTACCCTTCCCACTTTCCCTGCACCTTTAGCCCTTTTCTTCCTACTTCACATTGTCAATTATCTCATTAGGATCTTATGTACTATTATAATTTATTCACAGCAGAGAAACTATTCAGTATTTATACATGTGTGACTTATTTATTTCACTTAGGAGTATATCCTCAATATGTATCCATTTTCCTACGAATGAATCTAATTTCTCATTCTTTATGGCTAAGTAGTACTCTATTTTATAGAAAAACCACATCTTCTTTATCCAGTTTCCAAATGATGGGCAAAAGGGCTGTTCCCAAGTTTTAGCTATTGCAAACTGTGCCGCTATAAATATAGGTGCACATATATCACTGTGATATGCTTCTTTTAATTCTTTTTGAAAGATGCCCAGTAGAAGGATGGCTGGGTCAAATGGAACCTCCAGTCCCAGCTCTTTGAGGTATCTCCATATTGACTTCCATAGTGGTTGCACCAGTCTGCACTCCCACCCACAGTGGAGAAGGGTTCTTTTCTCCCTACAATCTCGTCAACATTTCTTATTGAGTGATTTCTTGATAGCAGCCATTCTTTGTGGGGTGAGGTGGAATCTCAGTGTTGTTTCCATCTGCATCTCTCGAATGACCAGTGATGTTGAACATTTTTTCATATATTTACTTGCTGTTTTTACTTCTTTGTCTGAGAAATGTCTGTTCATTTCAGATGCCCACTTTTGAATCACGTCTTTATATTTTGGTGGGGGCTGATTATTTTGAGTTCTTTATATATTCTTAGATAAGAGACCTTTGTCTAAGGAGCAGCTGGTAGAATTTTTTTCCCACATTGTAGGTTGTCTTTTAGTTCTGTTGGTTTCTTTTGCAGTGCAGAAGCTTTTTAATAAGATGAGATCCCAGTTGTTGATTCTTTCTGCTAGTTCCCATGCTACTAAGGATTTGTTCATAAAGTCTTTTCCTATGCCATTGTCTTCAAGTGTTCTTCCTAACTTATCTTCCAGCAAGTTTAATATTTCTTTTTTAATATTTAGATCTTTAATCCACTTGGATTTTAGTTTAGTGCATGGTGAAAGATAAGGGTCTAGTTTTAATCCTTGGCAGGTTGAAATCCAGTTTTTCCAACACTATTTATTAAAGAGACTATCTTGCCTCCATGGAGGATGATCAGCTTCTTTGTTAAAAATGAGGTAAGCAGAGTATATCTGGAGTTGTTTTTGTATCTAAAGAAGATGTATTTTTTTTATATAAAATAGAGTACTACTCAGCCATAAAAAATGAGAAACTAGAGACATTTATAGCTAAGTGAACGCACATTGAGGACATACTCTTAAGTAAAGTTAATAGGACACATGTGTAAACACTGTATAGTTTCTCTGATGTGATAAATTAAAAGTGTAAATAAGGTTCAAAATGTATAATTGATATTTTGTAATAGGAAAAAAGGTTTAAAAGTGTTGGACAAGTAGGAGGGGCCAGGGAAAGGTAAGAAAGGGAAGAGGAAAAATAAGAGAAAAGAAAAAAAAATGGGAACAAAGTCTTTGTAAATAGGGAAGGCTGGAGGTGGGAAGGGAGGCTAGCAGAATGGGGAGAAATTAAGAACCAAGATATTTCATGAAAAGGTACAAGATCCCAATGCTGGATGCAACTGTATTGTATATCTAAAATGTACCAATAAAATTTGAGTTTACAAATAAAGAATACTGCTTCCTTTTCTGTATGACTAATAAATGAATAAAATATAAATTTCAAATTCCCAAATCTTAGCAATTAGGTATATGCTATTAAAAAACAAACAAATGTCAGCAGTTATAGTGGCTAAGGACCATTTCCTTGCTGAACACAGACTGTGTTTAAGATCTCAAATGTCTGAATTCCCTGAGGTGACCCGGGCACCCCTTCTTACCTGAGGAGCCGGAGCTCTGCCAGCAGTGTTGGGTTCTGCTGTGCCTTTTCTGGTGTGGGCTGAGAAGCTTGCTCATGTTCAAGCCGCAGCCTCTGGATCTCCTGTAAGATTTCTCTTGGGAGAGAGGAGAAAGGTGAGAAATCAGGGTCAGCTAACTTCCAGGACACTAACATCTGAGCAAGTCTGGGCCCAAGAACAGAGAGAGAAGGCAGAGTCTTGAGAGTCCTGTGTGTAGAAGCAGGACCAACCTTCACTAAGCGACACTGTATTTCGTTTTCGTTTTTGTTTTTTTTTGGGTACCAGGGATCGAACTCAGGACCTTGTGCTTGAAATTCAGGCAGTGGCACCACTGAGCTAAATCCCCAGCCCACCAACACTGTGTTTCTGAGGTGAGGCTATAGCTGGCTGGGTGCTGTGGGTGATGGGCAGACTGACTCTATCTCCAGCATTTCTAAACCACGAAGTCTCTGTAGGATATCCCTGAGTATTAACACCAGGACCTACACATATTTCTAGTAAGTCATGTAGCTCTGTAGTATTGTGCCCAGCTTTGATGAGTGCATTGCTTAAGAGACAAAAATGTATCTTCGTAGTATTTATGATCACACTATGACACCACAAAGGACCCATAACTATCAAGTAAGAGGTACTTAGGGGGAAAATAAGAATAAATTGTGCTTGTTTCACAAAACTAAATAACCTCATTCTCTCACCAAGAATGAAATTCTTCTCACTGAATTTATCTGAGAATCCCCCAGTTAGGAAAAATTTTTTCTCTTTTTTTGTATCAGTTTTCAGCCTTAACAATGGATCTCAAAGAAGGAATCTTTAGAGAGAAAGTGCTTTTAAAAGGATTCAGTGTAATTGAATCTGTGACATAGAATGTCAGCCTATTATTGATGTTGGGGCCTGGGATGCCCTGCATTTGGGTGAACGTCAGGCTGGCCATAAATGATATGTGACCAGCACAGGGCAAATTATCCTAAGTGAATGAGAAACCATTAAGCAAGGTTATAAGTCACACATATTCTAGGGGGTTGTGGGTATCAGTCTCCTACTCTAGAAAATGCACAGGACAGAACAAAGCATGAGGCTAGGGGGTAAACTGGATAAGCAAGCAAAATGGCTGATTGTACATCTTTATGGGATACAATATGGTAATTTGATACTTGTATACAACATGTAATGATAAAATCAGGATAATTAGCATATTTTTTGTGTGTTGGGACCCTTTAAACTCTCAGTTGGAATAACTGGTCCCAAAATACATTTAGTAAGGGGTGTGTTCTTGTGTTCTACATAGCGCAGTAGGAGGATGACTATAGTTTCCAATAATTTTATTATATATTTCACCATAACCAAAGGAAAGGAGTTTGATGGTTTTGCATTGGAAATGCTGACTTATAGTTGCCTGCTTCACAAACACAGTGGAATCAGAAGCATAATTACTGTGAATATTACATCTTCCGTGGTATAGGGAGAAGGGTAGGCTATAAGTGGGTGCGTTTCAGTGTATTTTGGACTACTTAGTGTACAGAGGTGGAACTCTTTCTTTAAAAGAAATCACCCATGGAAACCCATCTTCTATGTCAGGCAGCTAAGAAGGAGCTCTGTAATAAGAAAGGGGATCCCTATGCTGCTCTCCAGGTGCTTCTACTGGATCCCCAGGCTGCCAAAGAGCTCAGCTTGAAAATGACAGATCTGTGTTTTCCATGATTTCCTCTAGTGCTAACATCTTGATGTTTTAGTTCTCCAGTCATCTTTCCTTGTATGTGGCACAGACCACCACAGAGCCACTTGCCCAAGAGAGGAAAAAAGAGAAGCAGTTCTGGTGAGAAAAAATAATGAAAAGATACATAATGTACATTGGTAGAACTGTACTGTTTTAGGTATTTCTATAACAATTTTATGATATCTACACATTGTACTACTATCTCTGTTTCATAATGAGGAAAGCATGTCACATATCAATTAAGACACTTGCTCAAGTTAAGTAATTATTAGGTGATTTGAACTCAGGTTAGGTAGCTCCAAATCCCATGTTTCAGACTGTCTCAATTTCTGGTACTTAGTTTGACTGGTTTAACCTAGACAGGCTGTGACTAATAAAATGTAATTTGAAGAGTTCTGTTACTCTTAACACTAACCTCAACTGGCTCCTGAAGGGTTCTAAGGAAACATTGTCTTCTAAAGATTATTGTCACTGACATGTTACTATAGTTTGAATCTAGTATGACTCCCAAAGTTCCACATTAAAGGCTGAGTACCTAGCCTGTAGTGTTATTAGGAGGTAATGGGACTTTGAGGAGGTGAGGTCTAGTGGAAATGAGGCCTAGTGGAAGTAAGTTAGGTCATGGGAAAATGTCCTCCTCTCTTATGTACTCTGCATAAGATGTACTGTAGTATCTTATTCCCACTCCTAAGCTCTGACTTTCTTCTTCATTTGATATCAGGACAGATGGAGAGGAAGAAGGAATAAACAATAAAGTGAAATAAAAGAGGGTCACTAGTGAAATCTGGATTGTGTGGAGATTACAGGTAGAAAGTCTGGAATTCCTAACAGAAAATTTAGAAGGGAGTAACAGAGACTCTCGTAAAATAACATTCCAGAGATATTTATTCTTTTGTCTTGCATTTCCTGTTTTGGTACTTTTACTCCAATTTCTGGCATCATCTATTTAAAAGTGGATCTCATCACTTCCCAGCTTCTAGTTAACCCTTTATAGATACCATCTGCATATTTATAGGCTGATTATTTTAACATCGATAGGCAGACATTCTGTTATTTACCTGATTACTCCTGCCTATTATGAAAGGATAAAATTCAAATTCTCTGGCCTAGTGTAAATATATACTATACGTTTTATATATATAT